TTGTGAAAAAGATGTGACACTTATCAGGAGCTGACAGTGGCAGAGTGTTCCCTCTGTAAAGCTGAGGCAGGAGGGAGGATGTGCACAGCTCTGCCCTGAAAATGTGTTCATGGTGGAAGTGCTGAAAGTCTGGAGGAGATAAGTCTTCTAAATAATGATGGTTTTATGGATGAGGTCATGCTTTCCTCTCACCAAGGAAGGAGATGGAAAGAACTGGAGTGGAAAGAGTTGGCAAGGTCAGTCTGTCTTGTTGTCACAAGAGTGGCAGGAAGGAGGCCTCCAAACAAACCAGAGCCCCGGGAGTGAGGCAATCACCGTTTCTTCCTGCTCACATCAAATTCCTGTTCCAGGCATTTCCAAATAAGGGTGAGGAACTGAGCGCCGCAACCGCAAGATGACAGTGCAAGGCTGTTAAAACCAACACTCCTTTTGCCTTCTTTTTAAAATAATCCATGTCCTGCCATGAATCAAAGTGCCTCTGTAACCTGCCATGCTCCAAAATAGACTGACAGGAACATATACAAATCCTCCTGGAAAAATAAATGACAAGAAAAGCTGTAGCTGGCAATTCCAGGGTAAGAACGATTGGCAAGTTGCACCATTGACTCAACATGATTTTAATCATGGGCTGCTTGTTCATCTCAAGGGAAAAGATGTCACCATGTGTCTCCTGTGCAAGCACAAGGCACACAAAAAGCACATGGCAAAAGTAGTTTTTGTATAATGGTAACAGTAGAAAACAAACAAGAAAAGAGAACAAGGGGGCGAATTTCCTGGCTAAAATGAGTTAATCTGAGATCAGTGGAGCTTTACTAATCTGCACCAGCAAAATGTCTACTTTACCACCCTTACCCTGACAACCCTCCCCTTGAGCTTCCCACTATTACAGCAGCAATGAGCTATGGAATAGACCAAACCACTGTGCTGCTGAGGGCAAGGAGGAAGGGGCAGTTTTAGCCTGTCAGATGAGGGCAGTGCTGTCAGGGCGGGAGCAGCTCGGAGTTTGCCAATACTTGAGCCCTCTTATGCTTTGTAGACACTTGTAAATATTCGGGAAATCTTCAAGTGATGTTTTGTTTTCCAAAGCTATCTGGTGGCCTGAATGTCCCTACCCAACAATTAAACCAATAAATTCAGAGGCCAGTCTTTAAAGTTCAGAGCTGCAGATGCTGCCACTGGTGCATTATTCATGGGTTTGGTTTTTCCCTTTGATATCTCTCTATGGTGTGATCTGTATAGCAGAAAAGAGCCCACATCTGTCTGTTTACACCACCCTGGAAATTCCTGTGGGCAACCAAAAAAGTCGACCACAAATAACTGCTGGGCTACCAACAAACATAGTATCTGGAGTGCCTCCACCCACCTGCCATTGGGCAGATTCCTAAATCTCATTGGAAATGGGAAAAATCAGATCAGGGTGGGAGGGAGAAGTAGAGAGAGGGATGGGGGGAAGGACTAGTTTGAAAGACTAACCTGAAATTAGCAGAACTGCTGTAGGATTGATTTTTTTTTTTTTTTTAAAGTAGAGTAAGTCACATGTGGGCCCTGAGCTGAGCGTCACGTCATGGGACATGACTTGTTGTGGGGTTGGGGTGAACCTTTAGAGTGGACAGGTTCTTCTGAGCTGTGTCTTGTTGAAAGGTGGACAGGAAACATCCTTTAAACCATCTGGAAAATTCATGAACACTTCTCCAGTGGGATGCTGGGAGAGGCTGTATATTCTGGGTTTGCCCAAGCCAGTGAGGCCTCTGGTCATTCTTGCTTTAAGTGCGGGATCTCTTTATGTTATTGTGGGTCTTGGAGAGAGTTACAATTTCCATTGGGTTGGAAAGCTGCTCAGTGCTTCCAGTGATGAATTCCTAACCTAGACCTTCACTCACACAGGTATTACTTTTCATATCTATATACCTGAACTACAGGGCTTGGGTAACATTCTCATTATCAATGGAAGTAGTTATGGGCTTAAAAGCAGGCACCCACCAAGCTGGATCTCATCCTATGGCCCTTGCATCCTTGAGAGGTATGGGAATTATTCTGATTTATTAAGCTGATCCTACACTGTGCTGCTTGATTTGCAATGTTCAGTGAGCTTTGGCTGTTACTTGCCTCTCACTAGTATTCAATCACTGGCTGTTTCACTTTAACTTGATACGTGATTAAAGAAATAAAGCCAAGGTGCAGATGGTACAAAGATTGCATTGTCCATTAATATTTTTTCAGTCAGGTGTTGCATCTATTTTTGAGCCTTTAATTCTTGGTGAGGTAATTTCTTCCTGGTGCAGATCATCTCATGTGCTGGACTGTACCACACCGATGTTGACCTGTCCACTTGGAAGTCTGTTGCTCTTAGAGCTTTTATTTCCTGAATCTGGGGAACAGTTTTCCCCCTTCTAATTGTGTTCAATTTTCTGAGAAATACTTTTTTTTTTTTTAAATAATTTTGAAAAGTAGCATGTCATAATCATTTTCTATGAGGAGACATTGACACTTGCTAGGATCCTGTGGCCAGGTGGCCACACTGTTCACATCCTGGACTCCTTGAAAATGAAAAATAAAAAAATGTGAACGCTTTTTTTTTTTAATGTAAAGTTTTTTATTCATCTTTCTCTTAAACCAGAAACTTGGAAATCTGATTTTTTTTGTTTTGTTTAGCTTTTAACTACTAAACCCTTTATTTAGCCAGCTGAAAGTGTAACCAGATTTTGGGTTGGGGGGCCTTTTTGGCTATTCCTGACTCTCTCCCTTGTCCTGTTGCGGAAGATGGCCACAGTTCCTCCGTTCCGTGCAAATCCGAGGTGGTACTGGGGTCTCTGGCAGGTTCCCAATGCAGGTCTCAGATGACTTGAGTCCTTCCCGTGGGTCCCTGGGCAGGCTGTTGAGCAATGGCATTCTCTGGTGGCAGTCACCTGTGCAGTGAGCAAACGGAGCGAGCGCCCGCGCCGTGAACGCACGGCTGGCCTCGCTGTGTCAACAACCCCGCACGTCCTCAGGGCCACAAATGCCAACAGGGTTCTCAAACTGCACTGGCTGATAAACCGGTTGCTTTATTACTTGTTTCTACCTTGAGTGGCGAGATTAAATTGAATTTAAAAGCATAAGAGGAGAAGGCATACAGGTAAACACAGTGTTTATGTGTTCATTGTAAATGTGTTCATTTTGAGGCCGGGGGCTGGAAAGGGAGACCAGCAGAGGACAGTGAATTGCATTTAGATCTTTTTTTTTCCCACTGACTAAGGGAAGGTTGCTCATGAAGATAACTTTCTCATCAATAACTTTTGCCAGCCTGTGACACACGTTACTGATCCTTCTCGGATCTGCGTGCCCAAGCAGAGTGTTTGTGCAACGAGATGTTGAGTAACACTCTCCTGAAAACTGGGAGACCTTTGATTATGCAGTGTACTGTGAAGTCAGTAGTGTAATGAGTCTTTTTCCCCTCCCTCTTCAAAACATGTGGATAAATGTTTTGTAAAGCTCTGAAAGCTCCTTGTCGCTCTAGGCCCTTGTAAATAGAGACTCTCTTTCTCACAGGCTCCCTTCAGGCCCTGGAAGGCCACAATTCAGTCACCCCAAAGCTCCTCTTTCCAGGCTGAACAATCCCAACTGTCCCAGCCTTTCCTCCCAGCAGAGCTGCTCCATCCCTCTGACCATCTTGGTGCCTCCTCTGGACTGGCTCCAACATCTCCATGTCCTTGCTGTGCTGTTCCCCAGGGCTGGAGCAGCTCTGCAGGGGGGTCTCACCTGAGGGGCAGAGGGGCAGAATCACCTCCCTGCCCTGCTGCCCACGCTGTGGGATCAGCCCAGCACATGGGGGGTTTCTGGGATGGGGCATGTCCAACCTGTCACCCACCAGCACCCCAAAATCCTTCTCAGGGCTGCTTTGGATGAGACTGTCCTGAGATAAATTTAATGGCCACCGGGTGGGTTGGGACCTCCGAGAGGGAGAAGCCCAGCATTCCTGCCTGGATCCCACGAGGGTGGAGGTGGCAGCACTGGCTGCTGGGAACAGAGCACAGATCCCAGTGTGCTTTTCAGGGTTTCCCAGTATTATTCAGTGTGGATGAATGACCACCCTTTGCTTTGTCATCAGGGAATATTTATGACCGTCGGAGCAGGGCTGGGTTCCTGGAGACGGGATAACACGTGGCTTTGTGCTGCCAGACAGAGAGTTCCTTTCGGTGGTCACACCAATGTTTTTTCATACTCCCACGGACACCACAACTTTTTTGGATAAGGAAGAAGATGATGGAACACAGATGAGGGAAAGAAATGGCCTCAGAGAACTTGGATACGTGGGGGTATTTTTACCCTTTGGGGTTTTTTCTTCCTGAATTTCAATGAGTGACTTATTGGAAACTTCTTTGGGTTTGAAGTGCTTTTTTTTTTCTTGTTCCACACACACAAAACTGTTTTGGGTTGTTTTGTTTGTCTTCATTTATAATGCAGCTGAGATAGGGTGACTTGATATTTTTAAAATAGAAAACTGATGCCTTCTGAGGGAATGGGGGAAGAGAGGAGGATTTTACTAGCTGGAAGCATGGGTCATGCCAAGGACAGCTTGTTGCTGTGAAGGGTGTGCTGGAGATGGGGGGGAGGATTATGTGGAAGCTGGTATGGAGAGAAGAGCAGTGCTCTTTCTCCTTGAGTGCCAAATCCACTGATAGTTCTCTTCCTCCACCACAGTCGCATATCTCCTTTTATTTATTACCCTTATTTTTACCTCTTTCTTTTAAGGCAAATTCTAGAATAAACTTTTCCAACCCATGACATTAGTGACTATCAGGCACTGAATGCCAAGCAGATGCCTTCTGTTTCCCTCACTGCTGTCCTGCTATCTGCTGTCATTCCATAAAAACAAACCTAAAAGAGAAAAATATCCTGTCTTACTGGTGAGGTAATAAAGTGAATGGCATTATAAATTCCATGCTGTGAATTGCTAAGCTGGAGAACCCTCACAGAAAATGCTCAGCATCTTGTCCTTTCTTGTTTTGATCAGTACTGGAACCTGTGAGGCACTGGGAGCTTAGCAGCATCTTTTGGAGCCTGCTACAGGCTGGAGGCTGTCAGAGAAAGAAGTTGTCAGTGAGTTGTCCAGCGGGTTGTGGAGCAGGAGGACGATTTGCCAATGACTGAGTGTCTTCCAGGGATTCCCGATCCAATGGTCAGGGTGAGTCTCCACACAAGGCCTGTTGGAAAAAGCACGGTCCTGTTTTCCAGGTTGTGCAGTTCAGGTCATGAACAGCATGAGTAAGGTATTCCTTTCAAAACCATCACCCCTGGGAGAACGTCACAGTTGGAAAGGAATATTTCCTCAGCATTTCTATGTCTATAATAAAAAGAATGTGCAAATGTTAATATTGACAAGTGATCACTGTAGAGTCTCTTCGATGGTAATACTCTTTTCCTTCTCTGCTGTCATGGCCATTCCACAACTCCCTGAGTTTTCTATGGGAACTATTCCCACTGGAGACAGGGAATAGAAATTAATGAAATAAATTCTGTTCTAAGATTACTGAATAACACATTTCCACTGGTGCTGGTGGGGTTCAAACACAAATTTTTGCTGGCTCCTGCTGGGGGACTGAGAGAAGGAGAAGGTGGCATAGATTTTTACATATCCATTATCACCTAATTTTGATTTTGTTGTTCCAAAAAAAGTTGAGATTTCACATCTTGTGAGAAGTTTAGCAAAGGTACACTTTGTGCACAGGCACTTCAAACACCAGCAGATGCTGAGAGCATCAGGAAATAATGTTGGACAGGGCACTATTACAGTCATTCTTTCTACCACTTCCTCTCAAACTGATGTAAACAGTCCTTTCCCTTGGGAAAGGGAGAGCGCTGAGCTCGAGTGATCAATATGTGGTTTTGCTGTGGTTACTCGGGAAACTTCATCCCTGAAATCTTTTTTAATCACAAGTTTTCTGGCATCATTTGACAGGATCCAGCTTTTCACTTCTGATCTACTGTATGTTATGGAATCTGGCAAATAGGCACAAATCTGGATGAGCTGGTTTATGGAACAATAAACACAGGTATGCATGTTTGTGAAAATTAAGACATTTTTAAAAGATAAATAACGACTGTTTTTAAAATAGTGATTAATTTTAGATTTTTAGATGTGCTATAGACTTCCATATTCATTTATTGCTCTATACAAACATTTTTCATGTTTTGTTTTTTCCCTCAGCATTTGTAGCAGATGTATGGAGGCTGGATTTGATGGCTTCTGGCACATCAGGATCTCACTCAGGAAGCCCCTGAGCGAGGCAGTGCCGTGTGAACACGAGGTGCAGCAGCTGTTTCAGGGTGATCAGTGCCAGGGCACACTGGTGTGCAGTTGCTGGGCTGTATTTGTGCTGTGTGCTCTGCAGCTGCAGACACATCCCGGGGGAGGCTGTGGAGGGCACAAGCTGGGGTTTATTTCCCCCGGCACAGGAACAGGAGCAGTAACAGCCGGCTGCCTTTGCCTGCATCCCTCCCATACAGGCTTTCATTTTCCACGTTCTCAGCTATCCCAAATTAAAGGTGAAAGCTCTGGGGTTTTTTCCCTGGAATTGAAGTCCTGCTAAGATCTATTTGCAGAGGTCCCCCCAGGAGCCCCCGCAGCTCGTTCCTGCGGTGGGGGTTGCTGGGTGCCAGGTGAGTGTGGGCTCCCAGACCACCCTGGGAAGGGCTCCTGAACCACAGGTACCTTCCAGACACTGCTGCCCAGGTGACACTTCCCCGCCACGCTGCCAGATTTGCGGGCTTGGCAGACAGATGGCGAGGCATGTCGTGTTCAGGGGAGGTGGGGGGGTCTGTGGGGTTGTGTTCATGGGACTGGGAGGGGGGCTTTCAGTGCTGGGAGCGTGGTGGGAGGTGCTCCTGGGCCTCCATCCACGTCTGAGGGGGGGTTAGGGCTGGTGAGACCGAACATGGGGCTTGTTGGAGGTAAGAGCTGGTGTTTTCTAATGGTATTGAGAGCAATTTTAATGGTGAGTGCAAACACTGTATACAGGTACAAAATAATAACACCAGTTGGAAGGCACAATAGCCTTGTGGTTCCCACAATGGATAGAGATCAGGAGTTCTTGAATCAGTTTTTGGCTTTGCCACAGGCTTCCTGTATTACTTTTCAGGCAGTCACTTAATCTTTGCATCCACCGTCTGTGAAACAGCCAGGCTTGGAACAGTTAGGCTTTGGAAGCATGTGTCTAATTCAGCTGTTATTATGGAAGTTAAATATTAAGGACCTGTTACATTATCATAGGATAAAACCACACCACATCTATTTTCACTGTGAACTTTGTTCTTTTGCTGTTACATTGTTTTTCAGGAAAAACAACATTTTCACTGCATAAAAATAAGCAGAAATTCACGATGCATGACATGAGAGCTGTATTTGTGGACTTCATGTCTGACACTAAAATACGAGGCTCGTGTTAAATCCCCCTGGGAAGACTTCAGAGCTGACTGTTCAATAAAATGAAGCACAGGTCTGGGCATTGAAAGTAAACAAATGATCAAAGACTTTGTGGAGATCAGCTCCCCAAAGCTGTTTGGAAAGTTCCATAGCCTGTGTCTAACTCCTCATTCCCTTGTTGACAGGGATGCTGCTCTGAGCCCGTTGTTCAAATTTCCGCCAATATTCTGTGTCAGAGAAGGAAATAACTTAGATAAGATCAATTTTCAAACATGTTTCTTCAGGAAGGAGCTGAAGAGCACTCCTGAAAACTACCTCCTGGAATGTAAAAATTCTGATCTTCGGGAAAGTAAAGGAACTACTGTGCGAGATGAAAAATGTCAATATATTTGGAGGACAGGTGAGTTTGTTTGCCAAACTTGACTCATTTGCAAACTCCAAGTGTGCCTTTATCTGTGCCCGGTGAGTTTGTGGGGAGGTGCCCCCAGCTGTGGGCAGCACTGGTGAATGTCACCGTGACTGACACTCCTCACAGGGTGGAACATGGGAGCTCCCTGTGACGCCTGGCAATTTGAGTGTGGGGGGAGGATGACAGAGACTTCTGAAAAGGATGGGTTTAACTCTGTCAGTGTTCACTGATGCTGTGGGAAGTGGTAATTAGCTAGCTGAAGTGTGCAGGGGTACATCTCCCCTGCAGGTGCTCTGCAGCACAGTCCCACACACCCAAAGGAACAGTGATGCCATGGGGCCGTACATGTGCCCTTCAAAACCAGCAGTTCCCTGAGCCCACCCTGTGAGTGTCCTTGTTCTAACTGTGGAGAAATTTCACACATAAAGGCAGCTTCTGAGGGGTGGAACCCTGAGAGCCACGTCTCACCCCTCCCCAGCCCTAAGAAAGCAGCACGGGTGTAATAATGACCCATAGGCTTTTACAGAATTCCAAATACTTCACCTGTGTTGTGTCTACTTTGTCACGTGCACTGATGTGTCATCCCTGAAATATCCTCCCTCAGCTATGTCAGCTTGCACTCTGGAATTTTCTGGGGTGAAATACTTGTTAGGAAAAGGCATCACCTTTTTTTCTCCACTGAGTATTTAATATGCTCCACAGGCTATTTCAGACTGGTGGTGAACAACTCCAAAGTCATGTTTTGGTGAACTTCTGCTCCAAGAGCTATAAGGTAGGACTCTTTCCAAGAACTCCAGTAAGCGTGCCTAGAACCTCCAAATCAGGGAGGTATTCAGTTGGAAAATCACTCACCTTTACTGGAAAAATCATAATTCATATTTTTTGGATGGTCTTTTGTAAGTTACAAGCCTCAAAACCAGAGAGCCCCTGCAGCTGCTGAAAGAGCTGCACATCTGCCTGACTGGGCTCTCGGATGGTTTGGCACAGCTCAGGCAACACAGAGCTTTGCTCCAAGGCATCTCTGTGCCCCTGCCCTGTCTGCTGGGACACATGGGCTCGCTGATGTTTTAAACCTACCCTGAATTACTTGTGTGCCTTGCTGCAGTAGCATCTTCCACAACATCTGCTGGGCTCCTTCTGCGAGCAGAGGTGGTATCTGCTGGCCCTGGGGTTGATCAGCAGACCTGGCTGCTGCCTGGATCACTCTGTGAGCTCTGAAATGCTTGGGATGCTTTTGCTTCCTTTCAGTGAAATTGTCAGGAAGGAGGCACTGCTAAAAAGGAGGCATAATTGAAATTTAAAGCTTTGGCTGGAGGTCTGCTACACTGCAGGGCTTCATGCACAGTGGCAGACCTTCAGCCACACAGAGCCCTGTACCAAGGGGCACTGAGGTCCCTCCTGCAGGAATGCCATTGCCAGAAGCAGTTTGACTTGTGCAGGAACCTCACAGAGGAGTGGCAGAAGTCACCTCTTGGAAGGGCCAACTGGACTTTCTGTGAGAGTAGTGTAATACACTGTGGAAGTACGTGTTATGTGTGACCTAAAAGATCCTTTCTACCCATTTTCTGTGATGCATGTACTGAACCATAAATACCCCATGACACTAAATCCACACTACCAGGCAAAAGGCTACATTTTAAATTGCTTATTTGATGATCAAACAATTTCTGTGCCTGATAGTGTCTCTGACAGTGAAAGGCAACAGAATAACTTAATTAAAAAGCTAAAGCAAAGCACTAATAATACATGTTATCTCACCAAAACCCCAGTCGTCTCCCCTGCAGCTGTAGGATTTGCCAAAAAAATAAAAAGCCATAGAATAATGGATTAGAAATGCTTTCCAGCCTTCCAGCTTTAGGCAGTGCATTACCAAAATATGATTCTTAATAGGAATATTGTGAGGAGCATCATCATTTAGGAACCGTGCCAGCAGGCACTGGATTAATCTTTTTTTTGTTGTTATCAATGCAGGCTGGCAGTACTTCTCTCCAGATGTACCATTTGGCACATTAAACAGTTCTTTTCTTAGAAGGGAAACCTATGGTTTTGCCATGTAATGCAAAACACCAATGGAATCACTACATAAGCAAAATGCCAGTAATGGTACAGTGGTCCAGCCACAAACATTGGTATGTTAATTTTGTTTTATTTTTCCCAGTGTGTCATCTGTAGTGCTGTATTTTGTACCAGGACTATGGCTGGGCAGTTTAGTATCAGATTTTAAAGTGTGTTTTCAGTGAGAGGTTTAAACTAGGAAACTAATGGTTGGGGGTTTTTTCCTACTTAATATGAATCTATCATTTTAGATTGATTTTAGAGACGAGGCCAAATTTCCCCCTCAATTATAGCTGTTCTACCTTCCAGCTGTATGCATGCACTTTTGGTAATGGTATTCAAATACACTGGCAAGCAAGTGGGCTGTGGCTTATACTTGCCATTGCTTCCTAAGATTAACTAGACCTTCAATTAAAATTCTGATTTATTAGTAAGAAGGTTGATATAATTATAGCATATTTGGTTTGTATATGGAAGGCAGTGACTGGCCTTCTGTGCTGCCTTAGTTCTCTCATGGATCATCACCAGTCCTCGCAGAGGCAGCTGTATTAGCTCTTATGTGGCATTTGTTGTATTCCAAATTACTTTCTGAATTTGTTCTATCCTATTGACATTGTATGGAAAGGAAAAAAGTTGCAAAACTACTTGTTTTCAGTCCCTCTGTATTTCTGGGAGCAGCAGAAGTTGGGAGGGGTGACATATGGAGGGGTTTTCTCTGTGTCCCTCTGGGTTTGCATGCCAAAGCAGAACATGAGTTGTTCCTTTTTACAGTTGACTTTTCTAGATGAGGATGGGGTTTAACCTACCATTTCTTGTGTAGACCTTGTTCAGGACATCCAAGGTGTTTGGCCTAAGCTGGCTCGCTTTTAGACACTTCTTTTGTGAGCTGGCTTTTGTTTTCTCACCCCTCCTACGTCAAGGTATCACAGAGCATGTTCCTCTTTCCTGCCACTGTTGCCCTGCTGTAACAGGTCTGATGCCATGAGCCTTGTTTCTGGTTTAGAAGGCACTTGTGGCCCTGCTCTCTCATCAACTGGCCCAAACCGCAGTGGGTGATAGGCTGCATTCCAAGGAGTGAGTGCATGCCCTGCACTCCTTGGGGCAGTCCTGCTTCTTACCACGTTAGATCTGAGGGCTGGTCATTGGGAAGCGTCTCCAGATGATCAGTTAGAGAGTCAGGATGGTAAGAAATGCTTTTTCGCCTTGCACAAATGGTGACATTAGTGTAATTTGCTTGTCTGGTGAAGGACAGCAAAGAAGGAAGGACATACCTCACTTCACTGTGCCACTCTACACTGACTTGATGTGTATTACAGAGTTTGTTCCCACTGACAGGCCTACCCTTTCCCACCTGAAGGTTTTTGAAGGATATCTGCACTTCATGTGTAACATTTTATTTCCCATTCCCTGTATGAAAAGGTG